GGATTCACCATATTCCATCAATTGTCCACTTCCTTGCTAGTAATAGCTGGCTGACCAGTTATCCTCTTCACTGATGATTCTGGCACAGAGTCAATTATAAACCTTTGCAGTAGTTATAGAAATGTACAAATGTCCATCCAACAAGCTAGCCTCAAAGTTGCTCTGGGCATGTTTTGTTCCAATTACTTTTATTAGCAATCCATAGCAGTATGACCATACCTCGGACCATGGCTTTGGGAAGGTCAGCTTTAATATAACCAGTTCTGACCAAGCTATGAGGGCAGTGGTGGTTCAGAGGAGCAATTTTCACTTCTCATGTAGATAACTTAGATTTAATACCAAGCCGGAGCACCTCAGCTCAGCCACTACTCACCTATCAGTGAGGACATGTGTGTTGCATAGATGCCGCCCAGGCTAAAACACATTAGGAAGAAAGGTCGAGCAACTTTGAAAAATCAGCACTGTAGATGGTATCTTGTCAATCTCATGGTGTATGAGGTCATTGTATGTAGGGTGCTAAAGCAACAGCAGCTAACAGCCACTCCTAACTGTATTCTTATTTTTCAAATTTCTCATTTCCTTCTACCCATGACACATGTTTTCTCTGGTCCTAGGTATATGACAGTACTTTACATGCTCTCAAATTACAGCACCATACAATTTATGCCAGTTCACAGCAACTGAAATCTTCACCACTCAAAACTTTTTACTGTCCTACAGAACTGTAGGAAGATGAAAGAATCAAGAGTCACATCAACTTCTCCAGACTAATTCCTACAATTTACCCAATATTACCGGTTTTATCCAAAATCTTTAAAAGAAGAGATACTCTCTCATTTTTTGAAAGATACTTTTTCCTTTTTAAACCAAAGCCCTCACATCCGTCATGGTTGTTGTTGTTATGTGCTATCGAGTCGCTTGCAATTCACAGCAACCCTATGTACAACAGCTCTAAACTCTGCTCTGTCCTGTGCCAATTGCATTGTCTCTGACACTCCCATCCCGATCATCCCAGTCACTGAACCAATTCACCTCATAGAGGGTCTTCCCCTCCTGCGCTGTCCTTCCACCCTCCCAAGCATGGTGTCCTTCTCCAAGGACCAGTCTCTCCTTAGAACATGTCCATAGTATGTTAGACGAAGCCTCAGAATCCTTGCCTCCAAGGAGCCACCCGGTTTAACCCTTTCCAGGTCAAATCTGTTTGTTTTCCTAGCAGTCCATGGTATTCTCAATACTCTTCTCTAGCACCACAGCTCAAAGGCATCAATTCTCCTTCTATCCTCCTTGGTCATTGTCCAACTCTCTGATGCATAACAAGTGATTGCGAAGACCATAGCCTGTAGCAGATGCACCTTAGTCTCCAGAGAGACACCATTGCTCTTCAGTACTTTGGAGAGGTCCCTAACAAGAGACTTTCCCATGGCAATGTGCCTTTTAATTTCCTGGCTGCTGGTGCTAAGAGTGTTGACTGTGGAGCCAAGCAAACTAAAGCTGTGAACAATCTCACTCTCTTCACCATCCATCCTGATGCTACCAATTGGTCCAGTGGTGAGAATCTTTGTCTTCTTGACATTGAGCCTCAATCCATATGGGAGGCTGCAGTCCTTGACACTCTGCAGCAGGTGTTTCAGGTCCCCCTCAGTTTCAGCAAGCAGGGTTGTGTCATCTGCATAACGCAGATTGTTGATAGATTATCCACCAATCTTGACCCCACATTTCTCCTCATAGAGCCCAGCCTCCTGGATAATGTTTGGCATACAGGTTGGAAAAGGTACGGAGATAGGATGCATCCCTGGCATACACTTTTCCCAATTTTTATCAATACAGTGTTCCCTTGCTCTGTTCTGACAACTGCCTCCTGGTCCAATTATAGGTTTCGCATTAGAACGATCAAGTGTTCTGGGATTCCCGTTCTTCTCAGAGTCAGCCACAGTTCGTTATGATCCGTCATGAACTTTCCTTAATAAATTTCTGCCAAATGCAATGAATTCTCTTTGTTCTTTTAGCTTATTTATAATACCTGAAACTCGTCACTATCTCCATCTTCAAAGATCATATTTGAGGCTCTAAGACAATATTCTCTTCTGGTCCTTCTACAGCTCTTATGATTTTGTATTATTTGTTGGAACTGCCTTCTCAACTAGCCCACTAAATGTTGGTGTGCTGGAGTTTTGTCCTCTTATCCTTCTTCCTGGATAACCTCACTTAAATCTCATGACTGGGATCAACTCCCATTGGTTGTGGTGGCAGACAGGCGCCAAGGTCACAGTTCAAGGATCTGACCTCACAGAGGCCCATGTACACAAGGATGAAGCATCTCCTCGTGCGTGCCACCCTCACAATCACTGCTGGGCTTGAGCTCACTTAGAGCCGCTCTGTCAGTCCACCTGATCGAGGGCCCCCTCCTTTCTTGGTGACCTGTCTTTCTCAAAGGACTAGGCCCTACTAATAACATGCCCAAAATTTGTGAGAAGAAGTTGTCTCACCCTTGCTCTTGCACTTCTTTGAGTCAGAAAAATGTGTGTTCTTTTAGCAGTCCATAGTAGAGTCAATATTTTTCATCAATACAGTGATTCAAAGGAAATCCTTCGGTCTTCCTTATTCATTGTCCAACTTTCACATGTACATGAGGATACTAAAAATATTATGTCTTGGGTCAGAAATGCCTTGGTCTTCAAACTTACATCCTTGCTATTTAGCATTTTATAGACATTGCTGTTGTTACTGTTAGGTGTCAACAAGTCATCTATGTCTCATACAAAACCCTATTAACAACAGATCTGAACACTGTCATATCCTGCGTCACCTACATGATCTCCACCATATTCGAGCATTTTTCTACAGTGAATATGTCAATACTTATTACTGAGGGTCTCCCCCTCTTTCTTGGACCCTCCATCATTACTGGAATGGTGGCTTTTTCCAAGGACTGGCCCCTCCCGACAGCATGCCCAACTCAATACATTACTTGATTTCATGACTTATGGCTGTTGACAGCAAATCCAAGGAAAATCAAATACTCTGGAATTTCAATCTTTTCTCCAACATCATCATCATATTACTTGTGGGTTTCAAACATTTAACCCTAATCTCAACTTTCAACACAGCTCCTAACTTATTATGTACCACCTAAAATTTCCATGGTTAAGCTTACTGTTGTTCCTATCCACTCAAAAGGTTTAAAAGTTGATCTGTTATATTTTTTTTTTCACCACATTTGCTCTCCAGGCTATATTCTCTATCTTGACACACAGCCTCACCGAAGTTATTATTTAATCATCTTTGTATATTTCCACTATAGCAGAGTAATTAAGAGCACGTGCACTTACCGATGTAGATTCAAATCCTCTATTACTATCTAATTCTAATACCCTGAGAAAGTTAATTCATTTCTGGTCTCAATTTCCACATTAGGGTTTTTTTTAAAAAAAAAAAAAAGGCACACACACACACAACAAACAACAATTTGTCCCAATGATGTCACTACTAAGTAAGTAATCCAAGCAGAGTTCCTAAACTAGTTGTTGTTGTTATGTGCTATCGAGTCGCCTGCGACTCATAGCAACCCTATGTACAAGAGCCCTAAATGCCGTTCTATCCTGTGCCAACCTCACCATCTCAAATGCACTCATTCCCACCCCTCCAGACTAGTAAACAACATAAAAGTTGGGGGATGGGGGGTGGAATTTCATACTGTTAAAATGCCAATCAATAAATAATATGTATGTAATATTAAGTCAACCATCTCGGATTCTTTTTATCCAATCCTCATCAACATCTAAAAGGCTCTTAAATAATATTTTCATCAATATTCAGATGCTTTTTTGTTTTCATATCCTATCACCCATGACGTAGGGTGTACTCCTACAACTGTCAAGATTTCATAAGAATATTTTTTTTCTCTTAGTAATAGACTGATATTGGCCTTGGGTTTAACAAATTATACTAAAGGCCCTTACCTGTTCTGGTCTCCATTCTGTCCCGCCCAACCAACTACATATGATGATCCCAAATTCAAGACTGACAGAGGGCTACACAGGACTGGGAAGGAATTCATGGAACAGTCGAAAGGACTCTACAAATACCAGCCCTTTCAGTATCATTTAACTTCAGCATATATCATAAACATTTTTATGATAGCTGCTGCTTTTCAAGGCATTTTTATAAACTTAAGCAATTACAAGTAACCTTTGAAAATTAATCCACTAATTTGTCTACTCATCAGATATTAACAGCATTCCACAAACTGTTTTAGGCACTACGGATGCAGCCATACATAAAACACATTTTAAGCCCAGTCCTCGCACAGGTTTAAATGTAAGAAATGGAGCTATAAAGAGAATTAATACGGAACCTAAATCACATGATGAAAAGAGCTACAGAGAAAAAAAATAAAGAGGAAAGACTATACTTAACATGCCTCTGAGATTCATCTGATGAAATTATTCCCTGGTGTGGTCAGAATTCTCTCACTTATCAGACCTGAGCAGTCCTTCCCTAAATGTAAGCTCTCAATTAAGCATTTACTCATGCAAATTTGATTTGGAAAAGGAGAGTTAAACCTCAAAAGCCCTGGGTTTGCACAGCCCACAGTGCTAGTGACCATACTGTTTTAGTTACCATACTAATAAGGACTGTGCTTAGAGCTTCTATGGCCTTGGTAAGTCTTTGCCTTTTCTATTTTAGGAGGTCATAAATGTGGAATGAGGGCAGGTTTCAGGCCCACAACTTACTGCCACCTCTGCCTTTCCTGAACTCCCAAAATAGCTAAGCATTCTTTTTAAATGGCTTCAGTGCTCTGACATAGGTGCTCCCAGGTGGCTGCTAGAACTCATTTCAACCTGGCCGAACAAGCATGAATAAGCCTCTTTATTGTTAGTTTTATCTTCCCTTCAGTGCTTGGGAATACAGAACGATCTCTAAAAGTTTATGCTTTATTAACTTCACGAGCCACCAGGAAAATTCCGTCAGTTATCAGCAGGATAATTCAGCGCGGGTACCTTCAGTGTCCTAATATGACTCTCAGCCTCACTCTTTTCCTTCTTAAAGTGCTTCATCAGCTCCTGGATGTTTTGCTCGTGTTTCGTTTTCACGCTCTGCAGTGATGATGTGAGATCTTCCAGCTCCCTGCGGTGAACATCTCGCTCTAGCTTTAACTGCTTGATGATGGTAACGGTCTCATCCTCCCTGGACTTCTCCCGCGTCTTGAGCTCAGAAAGTTCCCTAAGCAGCTCTCTCTTGGCTTTCTCTTCCTCGGCCAATTTATTGGCGAGATCGGCTCGGATGGCACTCAAGTCCTTGACTGACTCCTGCATCTCCACGAGGCGGGCTGCCCCTTCGGCCTTGCTCTTCCTCAGCTCTGCATTTTCTTCCTCCAGGTGAGTCTTCTCGGCTTTCATCTGGCTTTGTATCTTACTCTGCTTTTTCAAGTCACTTTCGAGCCGGTGTATGGTGTCCAGGGAATCCTTGATTTCTTGTTCAAGACCAGCCTGGTGAGTCTTCATTTCACTCAGTTTATTGTCCTTACAGTGAAGCTCTTCCTCCTGACGAGCTCGCTTGGTTAACACATCATTCAATTCCTTCCGAAGACTATCTATTTGTTGCAGTGCAGAATAAAGCTGGCTTTTCAAGTCATCTTTTTCTTTTTGAATCTATCAAAGGAAGAACAAGGAGAAAAATACTGTAAAATAAAGATTGACACAGCTAGGTAAGAAGAGAAATTAAAACAGGAGAGGAAGTATTACTAACCAATAGTACTCTTCATAATTTATGCCTATTTTCAATAAAGAATTTTTCTTCGATTTGAACATGAAGGAAAAGATATATTTATCATGAAATTATAAAGATCCATAGTAACAGAATTAAATATGTAGTTTTGATATTTTTAATCACATACTTTATTTTCTAAAAACCCATGATATTAAATAAATATATTTCATATTGAACCATGATCTTAAATAAAGGTAAAATTGAGCAAAAGAATGAGGGAAGAAAAAAACCCCAAACCAGAGAGAGTCCTATTTTAAAGATAACTTCCCAAAAGTTAAAATAATTATCATTTTAATAATATTATTTAATAAAAAAATAAACAGAATTCCTTAAGAATTTCACTGCCAATGCAGCCTTACCATCTCCAATAGAAATGAGCACACTGCCCCAAACACTGCAACAATCCACTTTGTTGAGGGTCTTTCCCTCTTGGTTTAGCTGTTTGCTTCGAAGGTGTCAAGAATTGAAATTTAATTCTCAATCCATCCATCTACCACATCTATGGCCTTAAGGAAATCATCATTACTGTATTTTGGTTTCTTCATTTGTAAAATAGAAACTATAATCGTATCTACTTTATAAGGTTCTGATAAAAATAAATGACAAAAGGGAAAAGTTGGAATGAGATTGAAGTTGAAGATAGAGTCAGGGGTCTGGGAGGTATTAATGCAAGGCAGTGATTGAAATTATAAAGGAAGATAATTACTGAATCAAGTCCTCAGAGTAGAAAAACTGGGGCATGCTGTTTGTGCTGTGTTCTGTCTAGCTGGAGCCGACCAAAAGGTGACCCTGCAGTGAGGTTTCAGAGGCAGCTAACTACATGTAAGGCGACTGCCCACCCTTCTCCCACGGAGCAGGTGGTAAATTCAAACTATGTGCCTTTGGAATTGCAGTCGAGCTTTTTACCACTAGAGCATTCAGAGAAATTATCTTTAGAAAGAAGAAAACCTATTGAGGAAATTAAGTCAGGAAAATGAGCTAGAAATACATATAAGCTTCAGGGTATATATATCCTTTTTTTATTGTATATTACTACAAACTTAGTAGCTTTAAACAGCACCCATTTATTATCTTGCTGTTTGTATAGGTCAAAAGAGCAAACGAAGTACTCTGCTTAGGTCTCATAGGCTTCAAACAAGGTGTTGGTTGGCATGAACTCTTATCTGAGTCTCCTGCAAACATTTAACTTCCAAGGTCTTTCAGGCTTGGCAGTTAGGTTCCATGCACATGCAGGCCTGTCAGCCCCATTTACTTGCCAGGAGTTGCTCCCACTGTTGGCTCACGAACTCTTCCGTGCTTATAGCCAACAGCGAGTCCAGTGATCCTCCCTTTTCCTACCAGCCAAAATAAGAGTCTCTTATTTTCAAGAACTCATATGATTTGATCAGCACCCTGACAGATGGAGAAGAGACCCAGATTGTTAACAATTTCAGCTTGCTCGGTTCCACAATCAGCACCATTGGCACAGCAGACAGGAAATCAAAAGACAAATTTGCATTAGGAAAATCTGCTGCCAGGGGCCTCTCTAGAAGTGAAGAGCAATGATGTCAGTCTAGGAAATAAGGTGTGCCTGACTCAGATCATGGTCTTCACAATTATTTCTTAGGCATCAGAGAGCTGGACACAGAATAAGGAAGGCAGAAGAATAGACGCTTTTGAGTTGTAGTGCTGGAGAAGAGTATTGAACATACACCACAGACTGCCAAGAGAATATACAGGTCTATGCTGGAAAGGATGAAACTAAGTTGCTCTTTGGAGGCAAGGATTTTTGGGGCTCTGGTTCACGTACTTTGGGAATGTTGGCAGGAGGGACCAGTTTTTGGAGGCAGCCATTATCCTTGAAAAGGTGGAGGCATAGTGCAGGAAAGGGAAACTCCAGATGAGATGGACTGACACAGGAACTGGGGTAATGGAAGTAGACATGTCGGAGACAGTGAGATTGGGTCATGATAGAGCAGAGTTAAAGCTATTGTGCATAAGGTCACTTTAAGTCACAGGTGACTCAATGGCACCTACCAACAACAACCTGAAAAGCCTATTACAAGCCAACCATGCTATATAACAATAACAATAGCATCATGAGGAGAGGTATCTCATCATGTGCACAGGTTACAAGAATTAGGGCAAGACATCTTTGGCAAAGTAAAGCATTCTACTTGCCAAAATAGAGCGGGGAAAACCAGACAGAAGTCAAGATTTATGGATTTGTAAAGATAATGTCATAAGGGACTCAGAGTGTGGGAAGGTAACTTAAATACAGTGATTATTTGGAACAGATATCATGACACACCCAGGGGAAAAAAAACAAAAAACAACCCACCACCTACCAAGCAAACTTGGGGGAAAAACAAATCATATTTTCATGACAAAACTCTAACAAGGAAATGCTTATAGCTACATAAAGATTATAATGTCTTTCTAAAATTGGCTTAAACAGCAGGTTATCTATTTTCCTCACATAATATAATGTCAGAAGATAGGTTGTCCCTCAATATCCTTTGGAGCTTAGGTTTTGTATTCTGTAACTCTCCAGACTTTGGCTCCCTCCCAGTCTCCCAGACGTGGCATCCATTAGGACAATGATCTTTAAGGATGACCAAAAAGTACGTTGCACAAGTTTGGGATTTCTCTGGCATTATAGTTTCCAAAATTAAGCTCTATTTGCTTCTGATTAGTTGAATGGCTAGTAGGTACAATACAAGATTTTATCTAGACTTTATCTCTTGAGTCTGATGACAGTGTCCAACCACCACCTCAGTGACCTGGCCATCAATCCCTGTGGCCCTCACACTGCAGTTATGTGCTCAGTTGCTAATCAAAAAGTTGTCACATGTGAAACCACAAGCACCGAATATCTACTTCCATAAAGACTGCCATCTTGGAAATATCTCTGGGCAGTTCTGCTCTGTCCTACAGGGTTGCTTTGCATCTTACTTAATGGTAAAGTATTTGAGTTTTACAGGTCAGTTTAAATAGCTTCTACCTAGAGGAAATTCAAAACAATGTATTTGGGTTCTCTTTTATCTGACCAGAAGTGCTTAGCTAGATCTACTTAAAAGGGAAAACTCTGCTCCATTTGACCTCATTTTTGTGTCTTTTAAATGTCCCCACTCCCTCTTCCACCTGGGCTACAATGTGTGATAAATAACTTGGTTTTTCCAATCTAAAGGAATCCAAATTAATCCATGAATACTCAATCAAAATTGAATATTGAAGGCCTACGGCTCTCTCACACAACATAATTCTTCTCTGCTTTTAAATAAACCAGCTTTTATCTAAATTTTATCTTTCTCTTGTAGGATCTTTCTGAAGGCTGCAATAATTGGACAAACATACTACAAAATACTAAAGTTTTTCTACCAGAAAAAAGATGAAACTTAATAGGATTTAACCAACTACTTACAAAGGACACAATTTTTGAGAATGCAACCAACTATTTCCAAAAGACACAACTTCTGAGAATTTAACCAAGTCCTTCCAAGTACACAACAAAGTTTAATAGCTATCTCATTTGAAAAGTATTATCCTCTCAGTCCTATTACCCACTACCATTACTCCTTGACTAATACTAGACTACGGTTTTTATTTAGAAGTACTTGAAACTTCACCTCACATATTCTGCTCATAGGGCAAGGAGGGACTAGTCCTTAGAGAATGACAACATTCTTGAAGAGTAGAGGATCAGTGCAGAAGAGAAAGAACTTGGATGAGATAGATTGACACAGTGGCTGTGGTAACGAGGACAGGTGTGCCAGAGATGGTGAGACTGACTCAGAATAGGACAGGATTCAGGGCTATTGTTTATAGGGTCTCTATGAATCAGCTTCAATTGGACAGGGCACAACAACAGCTAACTCCTAAAATGTAAATTACTTATTAATTTGAATATCATTGACAGTAAGAGACAATCTGAATGGCCATGAGTTTAACTCACAAGGGCATTTATTATCAGTCTAGGCAAAGTGCTCCAGAAAAAAACATGACAAGGCTATACAGCTCTACTTCTCGGTTACTTCCTCAACGTGTCTTCTCACTGTGTGGCTTAAGACGACAGCTAGACCACATCAAGCAAACTGGGGGGTTGGGGTGGAGTGAGGAAAATGTACAATAATGAATAAATGCAAATGCAAGTTTTCTGTAAACTTTCTTTAAAGTATTAATAAAAAATTTTAAAAAGATGGCAACTAGATGACATCAACCAATGCAGCATAAAATCCAAAACAACCACCTGTAGACCAAATAAAGATTTCTTTTCTCTCTACCTATTATTTATTTAAAACTCAGACCGAAATGTTGTCAAATCAGATCCAACTCTGACTGACCCTCCATTGATTCTGTGAACTAAATATTTACCAAAAGCTATCCAATGGACTTCAGATTGCATTCCTCACTAACAGGGACCCAAGTACATACCTAGGAATGACTGGTCTATAGTAATTAATGAAGAAAAGGGATGGAGAGGTGGACAGTTGTGACCACCACAATGACTAGTTGAAATCTATACAAGACTTGAAGGTATCCTTCTGTCGCAGAAATGAAAAGAAGAAGGGATCTAGATTCTGGATCCTGGATTCAAGATAAGTAAAATGCATGAAGTAGAAAGAAAAATTGACGATGTTGACGAGCATGTCATCAGAAACAAAGCATTTTATGAAGTCCAGTCTGGACTGGATGAAAAACTACACCGAGGAAATGGCTGATCAACCAGAGGAATGCAAAAAAAATAAAAACCAGGTGGTAATGGTTGTGAAAAAAGGAAAAGAAATAAAAGAATTATTAAAAATCAGAGACTGACATTTTGGAATTAAAGACAGGAGTGTAGAACAATTTCAGATGTCGACAAATGTGAACCACAGAAATTAGTTGTTGAAATAGAGTGATC